ATCTCATCTCTCCAATGCCTAATATGTCAATATTTATGCGTTCCATTTCTTTCTTAACAATTTCTAATTTTCCTACATTTATGGCTCTCACATTCCATGTTCCAGTCACTAGGGTCTGCTTACAACTCTCAACCTTTAGGCTAATAGCTGAGTGCATACCATTTGTACTACTTAAGGATAAGCTTCTATGACCCTATAATTCTTTCAACTCTCTGTAAATACTGGGGTGTCTACTCGATGGGACATAACAACAACTGCATGCAGGCACTGTCCTAGGTGCTGAGAACTGTGCGGAATCCAGGTAAAAGCCACCGCCCTGGGAGGCTAACAGTAGGGCAGGTTAGGAGGGACCATTTCTTGGAGATGGACCTCATGCTTGGAAAGGCAGAGGGTCAGCGATAGAAGAAGACCCTCAACCAGGTGGACTGACCCTGTGACTGAGATGTCAGAGATGATGAGGACGGCACAGGGCAGCGCAGTGTGGTTCATTGGGTCTCTGTCAGCCGTGCGTGACTCCATGGCACCTAGCAATAACCCTCCTCTCTGATGGGGCCTTCAAGAAAATGAAAGGACTTCATATCTGTAGAGAAGTGCCCAGTGAGCAACTTTGTTCTTGTTAGGACCCACCGGGTTGGTCTTGACTCACAGCGACCCCGTGTGACAGAGCAGAGCTGCCCCAGAGTTCCCTAGGCTGCTCTCTGTATGGAAGCAGATTACCAGGTATTTCTCCCCTGGAGCTACTGAACAGGTTTGAACTGCTGACCTTATGGTTAGCAGCTGAGTAATTGGTCACAGGGTTCCCCGTGGCACTCACTAAGCACTTAATAACGACCGGTATCATCACTACCATCACCAAGACCTGTGAGGTTTTAGCTCTGTCATCAAGTTCATGGTCTCCAGATGTCTTTTAGCCATGAGTCCCTTTACAAACATCGTTAAAAGTTCCATAAGCAGGAGCTCATTGGCCAAGCCAGACAAAAGCAAATCTTTCCCAGCAGTCTTGGCCTCCCAAACTGTCCTTAGAAGTAAACTTGTCTCTCTCAAGCACACTTTCAAAGGCAACTGCATCTTATTAAAGACCTAATTCCCAAAATTTCAGCTGACTAACTTTACAGATGAAGAGACACCCCTGGGGAGAGGGTTGGGGGGGGTGACCTCTCCGTGGCCACACCGCCAGCTCTACACACATCTGATGCATGCTGGGGTCACAGACACTTGTGGGAAGTGGTCCGAATAATAACATTAAAGCAAGAAGTCCCGGAGGCACATGGAGGGGCTTTTACAAAAGTTGTCCAGGTAGAGAATGGCTATGGCCAGCACAGGACACTCAAGGTTCTCAAATCCTGCCCAGACCCCTCACTGGGTGACCCCCTGAGTTAAGGGAACAGGGAGAACTGTATCATCAAAGTCCAGGCAGCACCCTGTCCCCATCCAGAGAGGACACTCCTTTGGGGACACAGGGAACTGGGTTGGGGTGCTGAGGTACTCTGCACTGGCTCCTCAACGGTGCAGAGAAGTCTGACCTTACTTCGTCCCCAATCACCACTCTGTCCTCTAATGGAAGTCCCTCCCAATAACTCCTAGGTCATGATCTCATGCTCCCCAAAGCCTGCCTCTCAGGAGGAGTCCTAATCAGGGTCTAGACCACAGCTAATGGGTGGGTGATCCGATGATGGGGCTGAGAGGATCTGGAGGGCAGGAACTGCGAATGTTAAAGTCCTTATGAACCTCGTGAGCCAGCCTGCTCACTGACAAAAAGCACAGTCTCCAAAATGAGCCTCCGTCTCACATCTGTGAAAGAATGCTCAGGAGCTCTGGTGGCCTAATGGTAAGGGGCTGTGCTGCCAACCCAAAGGTGTGAGGTTCGAACCCACCAGCTGCTCCTCAGGAAAAGGATGGACAGTCTTTTCCAATGTGATTTACTGCTGTTGAAAACCCACTGGAGCGTCAGCTATGGATTAGCTCTGACTTGATGGTACACAACAACAAGATAGAAAGTAAATGAAATAACTTCGTTCTCCTGAGAGAGAACACCCATCACCCAGAAACCTCAGAGGGGCTGGAACAAGGGAAGACTGCTTTCTCACTCAGATGGGCTGGAGGCTGCCCCCACCCTGAGATCAGGACAAAGGGAGGAAGTGCGGCCCCTGGCGGGGACACAGAGCACTCACTCGGGCTGGGCGCACGGGTGCTGGCTGCAGCGCCGCCGGATCGGCTTGGGCCTTTTCCTGTGGTCACACAGGTGTCGCTGCACCATGTGGTGGTCACGTCGACGCCGGCAACCATATTTGGTGAACTGGATACCTGGGGAGAGTTCACCAGTGCTTCATGCCCCACCTGAGACCCCAGGGAGAATAACCTCTTCATAACTTGGGGGACAATCCCACCCATCCCTGTGCCTTTGCAACCCCTGTATCCCACAATACTTTGTGCAGGAGGCCTTCTGGTGGGCATCCAGCTCTGGACAACGGCATCCTTGCACAGTCTGTGCGTAAGGGCAGAAGCCCTGCCCCGGAGACTGAGAACCTTCCTGGCCCTGTCCCAAGGACCCTGCTCTGACTGGGTTTCCAATGAGAAATGGAGGCAAGAATTGCACACTTCGATAGGAGGATGACAAGCCTAGGACAGCAAGGGCACTCTGAGATGCCCTAGGTGTTCCTGGCCCCTCCTCCTCCAAGAGCCCCTGGGCTGTCCCTCCGGGTGGCTGGGAGGCACCTCCTCCACAGGTCTTGGTGCAGGGCGCCCAGCTCTTGAGGGCCCACTCATAGGTGTCCGTCTCCTCAAGGAGCACGTTGTTGCTCCCAATAAGGGGCAGCAGGTCCTCATGGATGATGTACTTGTAGGCCAGGCTGCTGCGGGGGCCGCCCTCCCCTGGGGGGAGCACCTGTGGGGAGAAGGGAAGGTGGCACAAAGACTGGGAAGCCGAGAAGTGAGGCCAACAGGCAGGTATGGGGGAAGATGTGGGGCAGAGCAGAACCAGAGAAGACCTGGGGATGCACGAAGCAAGGCTGGTGGGTCAGCATTCAGGCTGAGCACCTGTGTGTCCAGGGAACTGATGCTGCCCTTCTCACAGACCTGCCTTTTGATTCCCACCATACTCTGACCTTCTCACAGACTGGCCTTCTGATGTCCACCACGCTCCAACCTTCTCACAGACCTGCCTTTTGATGCCCACCACACTCTGACCCTCTCATAGACCTACCTTTTGATGTCCACCTCGCTCTGACCCTCTCACAGACCTGTCTTTTGATGCCCACTATGCTCCCAGACCTGTCACACTGCCGATGACTACTGGGTCACCAACCAGTGCAATAGGTCACCTGGGGAGCTGAGCTGCCCTCAGCTGCCCTTTCTCCAGCCAGAGCTGCAAACAGAGCCCCCTGGCTTGGTCGGCTCTACAAAACCTGCCCACAGTCTCAACGGGTAATGGGCAGAGGTGGAGTGCTTCCCTCTCAGGAAGGAGGCAATCTGTGAGCACCTCTGATCAGCTGTCCTGTAGACCCAAGGTGTCCCTCCTGAGCTCGTGTGTTGGCAATGCCATATGAAAGCAACCCTTCCATGTCCCTCAGGCCCCCACACATCTCCAGGCCCCACACACTACTGACCCTCCAGCAAGGGGGACAGGCTCACTGTGTGCAGCTTGCTCTGGCCTGCCAGCGGGATAGCCGTTTCTTTCTCCTCCCTCATTTGCCAAGCTAGAGCTGGGGTTGTTTAGTCTCTGGGAACAAATAAGGTGCCTGGCCAGAACTGGGGATACCTTGGCCTCAGCCCAGGCTGCTGATGACGCTGGGAGGGTCCCTGCCAGTTCAGCCATAGGGACAGTGAGCTGAGGGGGCTGGGCTGGGGAAGCAAAGGCAGTCGAGAGAGCAGAGGGTGGCTCCTGATTAAGCCCTGCCACATAGCCCAACGCCAGCCACCCTGTCCTGACTGCATTCCTGCTGCTGACCCAGGAGTGTGGGCAGCAGGGCCTCACCAGGACAGCGATGGCTTCGGGCAGGGGTCCACTGGTCTTGAGGCTTTCCTTGTTGTCCTCCACCACGTACTCCCACTCCAGGCCCATTGCCAAGAAGGTCCGGCTCGAGGGGTTCTTCCCCTTGGGGTTGAGGATGAAGCTGCCTGTGACCTGGTTCTTTACCGCTGGGCGGGGGGAAAGGGCCACACCAATTTCTACCGTGACTGAGTGGAGGTGACATTCAAGGCTGTCAGAGCACGACCCTCAGGCCCCCTATGCCTACCTGCCACTCCTCCCACCTGAGCCCTCGACAGTCACCAATGGCTCCCTATACCACCCCCAAACTCATCATCCCTGCCTCTGTGTCCTCTTATCATCTCTCACATTGTATTATGTTTGTAATTTGAATTGTGTTTACTCAACTTATTATGGGATTCTAATTTTCACTCTTGCTTGACTTTACTGTTGTATTAAAAACACCTCATTGCCATCAAGTTGGAACCAACGCATAGCTAACCCTCTGGCGGGTTTTCAAGTCTGTGAATCACATCGGAGGAGACTGCCCATCTTTCTCCTGTGGGGCCGCCAGTGGATTAGACGTGCCAGAAGTGGTGCCCTTGGGCTGATGCACAACTCCCTATGTATGGTGTACTGTTGTTGTTATGTGCCGTCCTGTCACCTGTGACTCATAGAGACCCTATGTACAACAGTTCTGAACCCTGTCCTATCTATACAAGCTAAACATGGTGGCATAGCTTTTATAAAGGATACACAGTTAATAGCTATGTGTTTATATATCATTATAAAGAAATTAACTTGAGTCTACATGGCAAACTGAAAAATGGCCAAGAATGGGTGAGACCAACCAACCCCGACAGGCCCACCAGCTGGCCGCAGTCTCACAGGGTGGCCACGTGAGCCCCGCAGAAGAAATCAGCCGGCCAAGCCCAGCCCAAACCACTGGACCACATAAGCACAGCAACAAACAACGGTCTTTAAAGAAATTAAGTTTTTGCATTGTATGATATGCAGCACACTTTTAAAAACAGTTAATTTTGTGTGAATTTACCTTGGTTTGGAAAAAAAAATATCCTCATTGACACAGTGTGTGAAAACAGTTTTCTTTTAAAAGGTTTCCACATGTACAAGAATTGTTAACAGTAATTGTCTTAAGGAGGGGAACTGAGAGGCTGGGACCAGAGCTGGGAGGGGGATTCTCCACTGGCCCACTTTCATATATCATTAAAATGAGAACCATGTGGAGGGGTTATCTATCCAATATCAATTGAAAAAGTAAAATTTCAAACAGTAGTGTGTGCATATAATTCAGGCTGTAAATTCCCCAGGCCACTACAGTCCCATCCCGGCCCATCCAGGGAGCCTCCCTGGGCATCAGCACTCACCGATGCGGTGGGGGACCTTCTCCAGCCCCTCGACCTGAATGTGCCTGGCACCCGCAGGAATCTGCACCAGCTTGAGAGCTCCTGTCAGAGAGGAGGGTCAGGAAAATAAGGGAGCACCACGTCTCCTCCTCGCAGTGCTCAGAGTTCTAAAGCTCCAGGGAGCATGTCATTTGATCACAGAACCTTTCTGAGCCTCAGTTTGAAATAAAGTTAAGGCCTTCTCCAGAAGGTTCCTTCAAGGAATCAAATGAGAGGTTCTCTAGTTTAAAATGCCGTGTAAAGTCCAGTGTCCTAGCTGCAATGCTTTCTCATGTTCTTGGACCTCCTCTTTCCCTCACTTTTGTCCTTCCCCTTATTTTTCTTTTCTCTAATTTCTTGTCCTGTTTCTTCTCATAGGACCTGAAGGAAATAGGCTGTGAATATTCAGCAGGGCTGCCTTGGCCTCGTGTACCTCCCCAACAAAGGCCTGAAAAGCAATCATTTTAGGAGGTACCAAACTTGCCTCCTACAAGAAGAGACAAGGCAAAGGTACAACACGCCAAAGCAGGAATGTTTACTTCATACTAAAGTGTAGAAGATCTGGCCCTTTGCATTATCAAGTTTGGCTGGACTAGAGGTGAGAAAGGGAGTTAGAGGCACTAGGTATTCAAGGCAAGAAGCACTACAGGCTTTTTAAAAAAGATTAAAATAAATAACCAAGCAAGCCTGGCTAATGCCTTCAGACCTATCTGACCCTTAACCCCTACCAGCTGTCCTAGGAGAGATGGTGAGCTCCCAGCACAACCCATCACCTAGAAGGGAATGTTTCTGTCAGCTAAATGTGGGCAGAAGACGAGGCTAGCTGCAGCTTGGCTCACACAAGCTCCAGGGCCCTTCTCCTGCTTTGCATTGAGCCCGAGCTGCAATCCCACCTTAGAGCCATCCCTTTGCCCAGGTAGACAGCCCGCTCACCATCCCTTTGCCCATGCAGACAGCCTGCTCACCTGTCTGCTTGGAGGCCTTGCCCAGCGTCCCCTTCACAGTCCTGCAGTGGGAGTTGTCACCTCCACACACTCCACACTTGTCATCTGCTTTCATGGACCCGACCTCCTTATCACAGCCGATGGGCTGAGGTCAGAGGTGGGAGTCAGAGAAGAGGTCTCCTACCCACCTCACCCCTCTTCACAGTCCCCAGGAAATAGACACCTGCCTGCTATGTGCCCAAAGCTCAGTGCCTAGCTACGAGCCAGCCATATAATGAGATTCAGCTTTCTACAGGAGTCTCCCTAACTCATTATATGACAGGGGCAAAGTCTTAAACCTGACTCATTATGCTGTCACTTCTCCCCTTGAACAGGGCTGGGCAGTAGTCCCTTTCCAGCAAGTCAGGATATTTGAGGATCAAACAAGCATCATGGTGGGTGGGGAGGTGAAGCGGTGCTGATCTAGATTGGACGTGGAGGTTGGGGCAGGTTGTACAGTCCCCCTTATTCCCATGCACCAGGAGAGGGCCGGTCCTGGAGTTGGGCACCCACCACACACTCGCCGCGGGCACAGAGGCTGTAGGGGTCTCGGTAGCTGCAGCGTGTCCCATCATGGACCACCTGGTTCATGAAGACCACGTCGCCTGTGTCTGCTGACTGGCAGATCAGCTCACACTTCTGAGAATCTGTGGGGAGAAGGTCCACTCTGTGTGCCCAGCTGGGCTCTGAGGATGGGGGATGGCCTGCGAGGACACTAGTGCTTGTCCACACGGACACTTACGGCCAGCTCTGGAAGGAGCTGGTGGATGGTGTTAGGAATTACAAGTACCTGTTAGTCATTTCATTATTAACCTTGGTTAAATTATCTGGCCTGAGCATCAAATCAGTTTTCAGCATCGCTTATCTACAAAACTTCATGGCAGGTTATTGAGAAAAATCAAATAATAATAAAACTAACAGAAAGAAAAAAAAGAGCCAACATTAAGTGACTGTTTGATGTTTTGCATGCCATCAAGTCAGAGCCCTCCAGTGGGTTTCCAGAGGCAGTGAATTACATGGAAGATTTCCTCTTTCTCCTGATGAGAAGCTTGTGGATTCAAACCACGTCTTTGATAGCGTAGCGCAGCTTTTACTTCTCAACTTACCTATCCTTGACATACTTTAAACATGTTTTTCATTAATTGACTCATTCAAACCTCTTCAAACCCTTAAGAGGTTGGCTGCAATATTGTTGTTGTTATGTGCTATTGGGTTGCCTGTGAATCATCGACCCTATGTACAACAGCCCTAAACCCTGCTCAGTCCTGTGCCCATTTCATTGTATCTGACACACATCTCCATTACCCAAGTCACTGAATCAATCCATCTCATCAAGGGTCTTCTCTTGTGCTGTTCCTCCACACTCCCCAGCATGTCGTCCCTCTCCAAGGACTGGTGCCTCCTTGCAACATGTCCAAAGTATGTCAGACAAAGCTTCAGAATCCTTGCTTCCAAGGAGCAGTCCAGTCTCACCCTCTCTACAATGAATCTGTTTGTTCTCCTAGCAGTCCATAGTATATTCAATACTCTTTTCCAGCACCACGGCTCAAAGGTATCAATTCTCCTTCTATCACTGTCCAGCTTTCTGATGCATAGCAAGTAATTGCAAAGACTATAGCCTGGATCAGGGTCACCTTAGTCTCTAGAGGAGAGGTTTCTGACAGCAGACTTTCCCATCGCAATTCATCTTTTAATTTCCTGGTTGTTGGTTCCAAGAATGTTGACTGGGGAGCCAAGCAAACTAAAGTTGTTTACAATCTCAATCTCTTCATCATCTATCTATGCTGCCAAGTGGTGGGTTGCAACATTAGAGGAAAAAAATGAAGACCAGAGAGGTTAAGGAACTTGCTCATGGTCTCACAGTCACAAGGTAAGTGGTGAGGCCAGGATTCTAACTTGCGCTGTCTGTGTAAGGCCTGCGCTGAGCTCTGCATGTACTCCTCCAGTGGGTGTGTGAGGAGTGGATTGCCTGAACATGTTCATAAACCCGAGAAGCCCAGAGGAAGCAGGGGGAACAGTGGTCTCCTTTTGGATTGGTAAAACAGAGTGACAATGAGGGTGGGAAGAGGGTCTTTTCCTGTTTAACAATGAATGAAATGTTCTCTTCTCTGTCTGGGCTATTCATGTCCTAAAAAGGAGATTCCAGAGACTATATAAACACACTTGCTGTGCTTCTTAGAAAAAAGGACGTTGAGGCTTAGTTAACTTCCTGGAATTTATCTGAAAGTCCTGGGAAAAGCCCAAGCCCAGCTGCCCACCGGCTGCCCAGCCCCATTCATCCCCATGCTGCCCTCTCTTGTTAATGGTTCTGAATGGGTCTGGAAGGCTTTCAAAGCAAGCCCTGGCTGCAATGAAACTTCAGGGCAGCTTTCTGTTCCTGGTCCCTGATTTCCTGTCACACTTGGTGACTTCTTGCTTCCAGTACTGTCCAGGATTCAAGCCTGGAGCCACAGTATCCAAAGCTGCTTGGATTTCATCCACTGTGGGGATGGGTGTGCTGTGCTGGTTGGGGCTCCATGCAGACAAGCCTCTGACCACTCACAGAGGGCAGGAGGTCTGTGCTTAGCAGTGGAAGCTATCTAATAGAGGCAAAGGGGTGATGAGCTCCCCAGAGCAGGAGGAATGCAAACGGCAGCCCCTGAGAGGATGCGCTGACATCTGTGCTCTGGCTTTAATGGATTCTGTGATGCCAAATGAGATGGGATGAGCTCAGGACCCTTGGGGTGATGCTTTCCATGGTTACAAGAAGCTCCCCAGACCCAGGAAATGCAGAGGTTCTAGGGGGAGCTGCACCCCAGGCCCAGGTAGGGCAGTGGTTTTAAGGAGAGCTGCTCCCCAGGCCCAGGCCATGCAGAGGTTCTAGGGAGAGCTGCTCCTCAGCTCCTCAGGCCCAGGATGTGCAGCGGTTCTGAGGAGAGCTGTCTGAGGCTGAGGTCAGAGGGATAGGTGGGTGAGTATCGATCCAAGAGGGCCCATGAGAGGCTGAGGGAAAGCTCCTCAGTCCTCAGTCACCTGGCCAGGTTGAGGAGTCATGGGATCAGAGGACCATTACAATCTCTTTCAGGAAAAACGATCAAAGATACCATGACTCCCTGCCAGGCCCTGGCTTATCTCAGCCACCCTGGGGCCATTTCTACTCTACTGTTGATTCTAACACATGGAAACCCTTAATAAGAGTCTCATGGAAACCCCTGATAGAGTCTCTGTGGCTATAACTCTCAGTAGGAGCAGATGGCACCATCCTCTCCAACAGAGGTGCAATGACTTTAAACTGCTGACCTTTATGTTAGCAGTTAAGCACATAACACACTATAGCCCCAGGCTACTCTGGGGACCATCTCTGGAGATGCTTCAAACCAGGCGGGAAGGGCACCAGCAGAACACATTCAGAGCTCAGGCCTGCACCTACCCCCAGGGCAGCCAAGGGTTCTGCGTGCCTTCGAATCACCTTCAAAGACACTGCTCCAACAATAACCCGATTTTACCAGCTGCTGTGGGCTGTGGGCTGTGTCCTACATAGGAGTTTCAAGGGATAATTCTTTTGGAAGTAGATCCCCAGGCCTTTCTTCCAAGGCACCTCTGGATGGACTTGAACTCACAACCTACTTGTTCTAATCAGGGGAACACAATTCACAAGGCCAAGCAACACTATGTAATAGGACTGAACTTTCCAGGAAACTAGTCAGGTAAGGTGAGGAAGCCCACACCCGTAGTGTTACGAGGAAGTAAGGGTGCCACCCAATCCCAGTCCCAGCCTCAGCCCCACTGCCTGCCTTCATAGCACCTTGAGGTGAGGACCATTGTCTCAAGCAGTCTACCTGTCTCTACCACTTTACCATCCTGGATGGCATTACTGAGGATGTGCCCCCAAATGTAAACAATGAATAAGCCATACAATGGTACATGGAACCTGCCAACTTCAATGCCCCTCCTGTGTCCTCACCGCCTCTCTACCTTCACTGATGAATCCAGGTAGGCTCCCAGCTGGGGTCGCTGGAAAACAGTGGGAGGCCTGAGAAGTTATGCACCCAGCAGGTCCCCTAGGGCACTAGAGGGGAGAGGACTGACGTTGGGGTTTGGGGGAAGCAGGGCCTGCTCACCATTTTCAGGCTCATAGGGGAGCCAGCTGTGCTTGGAGTTGTTGTGGGTATAATATGAGTCACGTTTGGCGCACTGCTGAGCCCGAAAGTCCTCATAGGGGCCTGGACACTCCTCACTGCTGCAGACCTGGTACTCGAACATGGGCCCTGAGCATGCGCGGCCTCCATACGCTGGGCTGAAGTAGACACAGAGAGACAGGTCACCGTGGAGGCTGGGAGGGTGAGGCTGAGGAGTGCTGGGCAGGCTGGGCTTCCACATGGCCACCAGGGGCAGCCCAGCCTGTTAGAATAGCACAAAACGGGACTCTGTGAACTTAAAAACCAGAGTGACCCCAGTGACGGATCTCTGGCTGCTCTTTCTGGAATACACTTACATTCCTTCTCTTCTCTCTCTCTCTGTATGAAAGAGAGAAAAGAGTAACAGACTAATCCCTTCCAATAGATAGAACTGCAGCAGAACTCCATCTTATTTATTTTCGCATATTCCTCTAGTCCATTATACAGAGCCTCCATAAGCACTCAATAAATGATCCAACTGCCTCTATTCGTATCTGCCTCCATTCACCATCCATTAACAAGACTACGGAGCAACAGAAAGAAACTTGGATTTGAAATCTGAAGGGCTAGTTTCCAAGTCCGGGCTGTGCAGCCTTGCTTAACCTTGCTGTTCTTTCTTAACCTGTCTCTGCACAAGAGGGACCACAGTTGCCCTTGCTTTACCCTCGCCTGATGCGTCTGTGAAAATGAAATAAGAAGAGGGTTTTCAAAGCCGATGACACTGTCTTCTACAGTAAGCTAAAAGGACTGGGTCAGATTATTGAAAACCATGTGCATGAGGTTAATAGTACCACTTACAGAGCTGCTGGAAGAATGACAGGGGCCTAGGCACCTAAGTGGCACGCTGTCATGGCACTTGGCTGGCATACAAAAGATCAGTGGTTCAAACTCACCAGCTGCTCCATGAGAGAAAGAGGTGGAAGTCTGCTTCCAGAAAGATTTATAGCCTTGGAAACCCAAAGGGTAGTTCTACATTGTCCTGTTGGGTCCAGATGAGTTAGACTGGACAAAAGTGGTTTTGGTTTTATGCACCGAAGTACTTAGCTACATATCTGGCACAGAAAAAGTGCTCAACACATTGCAATAATAATTATTATAACAGCAGCTGTCATTTATTAAATCCTTAATCTGTGCTGGCATGGTGCTGAGAGAACACATATTATTTCATTTAAGCTTCCTAAAATAAAAAAGTTATTATTACAGAAAAGGAATGCCAAAAAGGATAGTTCTGCCCACGGGGCCAGCTGCTGGCCGTGCCTGTGAGGGCTGGTGGTTAGGACAGGCAATGCTGGGTCTTTCTACACCGCTGGCCTTTCTATCACCCACAATTGGACCCATCTTTTTAACAGGTCAAAGCAGCCATCTGGCAATAGAACAGCCTGCCCCAACAGTTAGTGAACTGCCCATCTCTGGAGGTAAGTAAGCTATAAATAAGTACTTCTGAGGATGCTGCAGGAGGAGGATGACCTCTCTGTCGCTCTGGGATTCTAGGAGTCTGAAGTTCTGCTGTGCCCATCACTCAGGACTGTGAGGGGGTCTCGTCAGGGCTTGTTTGTGTGTCCAGAACCCCTCATTTCTGGAGCCTAGGCCAGCCCCCATTTCTCCTCAGCTTTGAAAGATGGAGGCCATAGAGGGATTGAGGAGTCCCCAAACATGGAAGGGACAAGAAAGGAGAATGGACTTCTCCCCATCGGGGTGGGAAATGGGATTTGATGTTAGAAAGATGCAAATTAAGAATAATGAGAGGGATCAGGCATCTAAGATGCAACTATCGCACTCTCTTCTGGAGTAAAGAAGAGTGAAGGGAATCAAAGACTCAAGGAAATAATTAGCTTAAGGGACCACATGAACGAGTTTCCAGTAACCACAGACCAGACGGGTGCCAACTACTGCCTAGTTGCTCTGATTGAGTACACAAGAGGTGCTGGAGAGCACGGGGAGGAATGGAGAACAAAACTCAAAACCATAAGAACAACAAAAAGAGCCTGACTTCCTGGTGACAGAGACCAGCGGAACTGGCCTTCAAATCTGGAGCTGAACCCCCTCAGGGGACACCTTTCAGCTAAAGAACAGACAGGCCTGTAAAGTGAAGAGTCACATCCATGAGAAATGTGCTGCTTAGAACCAGGAACCACCTAAGACCAAAGGACAAAGCTCAGGAGGCAGGAAGACGCAGGAAAAAAGAGAGCAAGCGGAAGAGGGAACCTCAAGGCGACCGACGTGGAAGAACGCTGTTACAAAAATGTCTATACATTGTTGAACGGAAAACCAATTTAACCTGTAAACTTTACCAAGGAGCAATTAAAAATAATACACGCAAGAGGCCTTCAGTGAAAGTATTACAAGAAAAAGAACCATGAAAAGCTTTGCTTCATGTGGCTGAGAACAACCTTGAGGAGTTTGTCCTCAGACTGAGCGTTTAAAGAACAACAGCAAGCGTATTGCCATGAGGCGAATCCTGACCCAGGAGGATCTGGTGGACAGCTGCCCTGTGGGGATTTCGTGGCTGTAATTTTTCCAGAAGCAAATCAGCAGACAAGGTAGGCTTGAATCGCCAACCTCTATTTTAGTAGCACTTCTGTTATGTGCAGCCCCACTCGGTTAACTCATGGAGAGTTCCTATCAATGTTTTCTCCACATTTAGCCAGATCATAGAGGGTTCAAATTACTCCCGGGGCCCACCTGGCTTCCTGGTGAATCTTCTGCACGTGCCTGTTGGAGAATTTCTGGCTCACACTTTTTCAAGGATGTTGACACATCACCAAATATTGCAGGTGGGAGTGATGTGCACCCTTGATATTTTCTGGTCTTTACCGTCAGACTGCACCAGGGCCTACATTCTCCTCTGTCCCATTGCCCCCACCCCGTGCCTTCCCCTCCAGCTCCTCCACCCTAGGAGGGAAGTCCCCAGGCCTGCACACTCACATGGGGCTGTCGCAGCTCCGGCTGCGCGATCGCACGCCACCCCCGCAGGACCGTGAGCATGATCCGAAGTTGGTCCAAGAACTCCAGCCTCCATCCTGGCCATACAGCTGTTCTGGAGACTTCCAGATGCAGTGACCTTTGAAGCACCACTGGAGTAGAGCAGGGGGTGTGAGGTCACTTTGCAGACACTGCTGCCCGGTCTGCCATAGAGAGGACCCATCCAGACACCCAGCCTGGCAAGTGGGCACCAGGGTGAGTCCAAAGACAGAGGGCACGGAAAAGGGGTCATTGCACAATTCAAGGATTCTTAGTAAATGCACAGAGCTGTGCAACTATCACCATCCTCCAGCATTAGAACATTTCCTAGCCCCCAGAGGACCCTTCACACCCACTTGCAGTTACTCCTTGTCCTGAGGTGAGAATCTGCAAACCTTCTGATATTCAATTTTAGTATTATGTGCTGCCGAAGCAAGTACCTGATATTCAAATATAAGACAAAATGGAGAGCTGTTATGTGACTGTACGGGCTAGGAGCTTTGAAAATGCCCGGGGAAAGGGAGCTCCAGTGGCCTAGTAACAAGAAGCTGCGTTGCAATCCTGAAGGCACGCAGTTCAAATCCACCAGATGCTCCGCTGGAGAAGGAAGGGCAATCTCCTCCTTTGCCAGTCGGATCTGACTGGATAGTACACAACAGGGAAAAGCAAAGCAAAGCAAAACAATCCAAAAAACCCAGTATGCATGTATATGTATGTGTGTGTGTGTATATATATATATATATATATATATATATGAATATATATATGTGTATGTATGTATGTAAATATATATATGTGTATGTATGTATGTGAATATATATGTGTGTATGTATGTATGTGAATATATATGTGTGTATGTATGTATGTGAATCTATATGGTGTGTGTATGTACTACATGAATATATATATGTGTGTGTGTGTGTGTGTGTGTGTGTGTGTATAAAGAAAATGCCTGGGAAATCTTATTATGTACATTTAGCTTTATGTGTATCAAGTCAGAACTCATCCACAGCTGACCCTAGACCCTACAGTGGGTTTTCAAAGGCAGTAAATCTCTTGGGATGAGGCTGACCATCTTTCTCCTGTGGAGTGGCTGGTGAATTTGAACTGCATGCCTTTGGCTTGGCAACACAACTCCTTATCTCTTGACCACCAGATCTCCCTTCGGGAAAATTTAGGAAGTAGGAACATCTGTGCAGGTGTAAGCAGTCTATGGCAACAGCTGTAACAGGTGTAGAGCTCACAGGACCACAGGGAGGCCCATCCCTGTGCCCAGGAGTGAACCACCAGGGCTGCAAGACAGGGATGAGGGCAGAGGGACAGGATAAACCAACACACAGGCAGTAGTGATGCTGACCAACAGTGACCACACCTCTTAACGCCCCTCGTTATCAGGGCACTTTCAAACTCTCTGACATGACTCAGAACTTCAGACTGAGAGCTGGGAAGGATGCCTGCTGCAGGAGTCAGTGGGCCTGGTGCAGTTCAGCAAAGGGCCCCAGGCCACCTCACAGCGGCCGACAGCAGGGCCAGCAGGGCTGCACAGGTGATGCTGAACCCCAGCTTACACTCTCCCAGGCAGCCCTGACGGCATTTGGGTAAACGGCGCTCCATCACTCACACATCCACAAGGAATCAAGCCTGTGACAGGGTGTGCCTGAAAAGGCAGATTTGTAGGTGTGCTGGATGGAGGGGAGATGAGCATGACGGAGCACCAGAAGGGGTGGGGGGCTGGCAGGGCACGTGGAAGTCTCTGTCCTTTCTGTTACCAGCTACTTGTTCTGTAACCTTAGGCACGTTCTTTGAGCTCTTTGGGCAACATTCTCCTGCTAAGTGGGCTCTGAGGTAAACTTGCTTAAAGGACCATGATATTAACAAAGGGTTGATGTATCTACCTGCCCTTGCCACTCTTCTGTACTTCAGCACTACACACACACACACACACACACACACACACACGGGGGCAACCTGGGCCTGCAGCCGACGGAGGACCCTGCTATGGTCCCAGTCTCAGGTACCTTGCCTGGGGAGCACTCGGTTCCGTCCAGCGGGGGCCCTTTCTTGGTCTTGCAGAAGTATGGGTTGTCCGGGTGGCTGCACCACAGCTGCTTGCAGGGGTCGAAGGTCCTGAACTGGGTGGCAGGGAGAACTGGGGTCATAGGGCTAGACTGCCTCTCTAGCTCCAACCAAGTGTCCCGGGATAAAGGGTAGTTATGAGAGAGGAGACTGGCTATCAGCTGGGGCCCAGAGCCCTGAGAGGAGGGCAGGAGGAACCCAGCAGCCAGAGTCCCACATCCCCACACTCTACCCTCAACATCTATGTCTAATATGTATCTACCTCGTCCAAGGGCACAGAGGAGGGCCCCAGCCTAAAATGTCCTATTTCCCCTCCCCAAGTCATACTTCCCTCTCTGTGCAAAAGCCACTCTGTCACTGAGTAGGATGAGGGCTAGGGCCCCGGGGAGGCACTGAGGGGCTGGGGGTCTCAGTGCCCAGCAAGGGCTGAAGACACCTGGCAACAGCACAGAGTGGTAACCAAGTCTCTAACTGCCTGGAAAAGAAGCCTTGGTTACATGACTCCTTCCTCCTCTGATTCTCCATCAGCCCCACCAGCATCCTGCAAATACCCGCATTAGTGCATTTAAACATATGCCCTGGGTTTTCTCTATTCTGAAGGAGTGCTTGTCGCCCAGGTGTGACAATAGGGAAAGTGACCACACAGGGGCTCTTCGTGCTGTCAAGCACAGTCTTCTGGCTCTGCCTAAGAGAGGTGGGGTCTGCATTTCCTGGTTGAGGAGCTGGGGTTCTGGGGTCACCTGAGATGTCCCCTCTCTGAATCTCAGCCTCCATCCCCAGTCAGTGACTGGCTGTTCAGCTCTATCCTGGGTGGCACTCTGATATTCAGATTCTCCCATCCTGCCTTCCCTGTCTGAAAGGATCAGGGAATTGGCCCCCGGAGAGGCAATGTGAGGGTACAGGAGAATTTCACTGGGGGGAGGGGAACAAGACCCTATAGAGAAAGTGGTGGGGACAGTGCCTCTGCCAGCCCTGAGTCCCGCACCTGAGCGGATGCCTGATCATCCTACGTCCTACCCCTCTCGTGGCCCAGTTCCCACCTTCCCAAGGCGAAAGCATTCACAAGCCACTGCACATACCTACTCCCAGAGCTGTGTCTGGACAGAGTACAGAAAGGAACCAGGTCCGCTTCACCCTGAGTCCCTCTATGGTGCCCGGCCAGCCCATCACCAGGCTGGCAGTGGATTCTCAGCCAGCCCCCAGGAGGTCACCTGACTATTTTGGGCTGGCAGAGACCCTGGACACTCACCGCCATGCAGGTCTGGTACCCGGTGCCAAAGTCAAAGCGGCACTGCTCGTCCATTGAGTAGTCAATTCCTGGCAGCTCGGGGGGCCGGGGCCAGGACGGCTCAAAGGGATCATCCAGGAGGCAGTCGTAGGAGCTACCGGCAGAGGCAGGGTAAGATGGGCCCACAACAGAAACTCCCAAGCTCTTGCTTCCCAGGGGCTGGGGGGTCTCTTTCAGTGATCACTGGCCTGGTGCTGGGAGCCAGCTGTTCAGGAGTAGGCAGCTCTGAGCACCCCAACACCCACTCAGCTCTGGAGGGGCACCAGGATCCAGGGTCCAAGGCTTGCAGCTGTCTTAGGGGATCTCTTTTTTTTAAATTTTATTTTATTATTTTTATGTGAGTGTACCGTCAAATCAGATCTGACTGGTACAGGAGGAAATTGTCTCTCCTTCCCCAGCAGAGCATCTGGTGGATTCGAACCGTGCGCCTCTGGAATTGTAGTTGCAGCTCCCTACCACTAGGCCACCAGAGCTCCCTTAGGGGATCTCTTTTGCACACAAGATGAAGGGTGGCTCCCCAGACAATTTGAGAAGCTATTTTGCATGGAGAGAATGGAAGTTGGTTCCCTCTCAGGCGGGCCCTGGGCTGCCGCTGCCTCTGCCCACCCCCGCCCCAATCCAGTCTGACATCTATTCTCAGGCCTCTTTTGTCTCAAACTTATCCAGTCTCTTGGGGATCTGAATTTCTCAAATGAAGTCTATGGACGTGGTCATCTGAGCATGCTCCCAGGCTAACACACCTGGGATGTTAGGGCGTGTTTTAGATCAAGCCAGGTGGCTGGAGGGGAGCTAGGAGAGTCACAGAAGGGTCAAGTCAAGTGGTAGCAGATGACCTGGGCTGGAGAACCAGGCCAAGGTGACCTACGGGAGGTAGCGGCTGAGCTCCAACTTGCTGCAGCGGGACCAGTGGAAGCGGTGGAAGGCTGCCTGCACCAGGGGCGCCATGACGCTGCCCAGGCTGGTCTCATCGGCACAGCCATTGCCCTGGCCATCATGCTCCATGCCAAGCCTGGAAGGGAGAAGAAAGGCAGGACACAGAGCAGGCCTGAGTCTTGGCCACCCCAGGAAGACTAGACAGATAGATATACCAGCCTGATCACAGGATCAGCCTGTGCCTCCTGGCCTTAGTTTCCGGCCATACCTTGGGAAATCTCTCTCCAAGACTGCTGAGAAGTTGAAGCTGTCTGCTGCCCTCTGCCCTCTGTGTGTCAGGCTCCAAATATTTGCACTGGCTCGTCTACTTCCAAGGGACCTCTTCTCTCCTCAAATCCCTTCATGGCCTTTGAGCATCAATTCGAGCTCGAATCTCACTCTTTCTCAAGGAACTCGACCTTGGCTGCAACAGCAGGTGATAGCTGCACCCTCATTTAATAACTCACATGCTATGTTCTCATAAGACCCATAGGTCTTTGATTATGAGGACTGGGTCTTACTTTTGTAACTCAGCCGCAGTGATGGGTACCTCTGTGAGCCAGTCTCTTAAATCTCTCCATGACTCTGAAATTTTTAAAAGAGTAGCAGAGACGAACTGTATTGGGTAAGTCAGCTGTCAGGGACTTCTCCAGAGTACTGAAGAGCAATGACATCAGGCTGGAGACTAACATGTGCCTGAACTGGGCTATAGTCTTTGCAATTGCATGCTATGCATCGAAGAGTAGGACAGTGACTAGGGATGATAGAGAATTGATGACTTTGAGCTGTGATGCTGGAGAAGGGTGTTGAATATACCATGGACTGCTAGGAGAACACACAGGTTTGTCCTAGAGAGGGTGAAACTAGGCTGCTCCTGGAGGCAAGGATTCTAAAGCTTTGTCTGACAGTTTGGGCATGTTTCAAGGAGGGATTGGTCCTTGAAGAGGGACATCATGTTTGGGAGAGTGGATGGACAGTGCATGAGAGAAAAACCCCTGATGAGATGGATCAATTTTCTGATTGGGGTGGTGGGAGTGTGTCGGAGACGGTGAGGTTGGCACAGGATAGAGCAGGGTTTCAGACTTTTGTACATAGGGTTGATATGAGTCGCAAGAGACTCGATGGCACATAACAATAAGCCAGAATGAGAAAAATCAGGAGTCAAAAGCCTGGAAAAACCCCCAAAGATTCTGAATCCTAAATATTCCCTGATAACTGCACCTGCTCTCACCACTAAGTGGGCAAATAGGCCTCTAAACTTGGCCACAAGAGGGGGCAGTTGTGATCGGTGGTAAAACTGACCCCTCTCCTGGGAGAAACATGACTCATTTCCAAAGAAACTCCTGTGAAGCCAACATCATTCTGTCAGCAGGCCTCACATGCTGCTGTCAAGCTGACCAGGGTCCAGTGTCCAGGGTCTCCAAAGAGACATGGAAGAAAGTGCTGGCAAGCCACATTCTGACATTCTACTCCCTAGTGATCTACCTTCAGCTTTTGTTAACCCTCCAGAGTGCAACAATCCAACCCATAACCCATCATGGGAGTGGCCGTAGTTCACTAACAACAAAGCTTATTAACAAAAAAAGGGCCTCGGTGTAGAGTGGCACCAGGAACACATGGAGGCATCGGCTTCTACCGCAGGAAGAGGCCTCAGAAGCATATATGTGGGAGCATCAGTTTCTACTGCAGGACAGGGCTTCAAGGGCTTCTCTGTCAGCCTCCATGTCCTGGATGAGGACATCGAGACCCAGGACAAGGAGGTGCTGCTGGTCATGAGGCAGAGTCCAAGTGTCCTGTGCTAAGTAAGAGGATAAATGTGGGGTGGGCATCAAGCCCCCCAGTTTGTACACTCCTTTCCTCAGCTCCTACAACACGGACTGGGCTGTAGGGGACAGCCAGGGCCTGCAGGCACCATCTAATACTGTGGGGATTGGTTATTTGTCCATCTGCAGCCTCCTCAGGGACAGAGCTTTTGGGAGACAGGGACTGCTTTGTCCTGCATCGTAGCCCACAGCCTAGCACACAGTAGGTGCTTCATAAATATGTGCTGAATGAACGAATGGATGAATGAATGAATGGATGAGTTTGCTGTCAAAACCCAACCCCAGGATTAGTGTCAGCTAGCCTTGGCCCGGTCTTGGCCCAGGCATTAAGTGTGCAAGTTTGTGATGGGATCCAGCCAGCTCCGGGGTACACTGAGCACCGATGTTGGCTGGAACAGGCTCAGAAGGGCTCTGAGATGTGGACAGGAGGAAAGGAGGCCAAGAATGAGGCCACCCAGAGAGGGCTGACAAAGCCTGTGACAGGGACAAGGCAGAGCCACATCTGGTCCTCCAAGAACTTGGTGTGGGGAGGCTGTGAGATCCCAGAAATGCTGTCCCATGGTCCCCTGCTCTCCCCTCGGGACAGCGCTAGGGTGAGCCTTCCTCAGTGGGCGGCCCTCATATTGCACCTGCAGAGTCGCTCTGAAGCATATCATGGGACTTCAGCCTGACATGAATCAAAGCCCTCCAATGCCCATGGGCTCCTCTGAGCTCACTTCACAGCCTCGAGTCACCGAGCCACCAGCCCCACCACCCTCTTGTGCCACCTACACGTGGCCAGTCTCGTGAGCCACCACAAAGGCCGAGGAGAAGCCGTCTTCGTGGTTGAGTGCGCAGCTCCTCAGGGGGTGGCACATGCCGGTGATGGGTGCATACCCTGGGGGAGAGAGGGAGAAAGGGCAGAGAGAGGTCATGGGCAGGGGAAGGGGTCACTTGACCATCTGGTCCCGGCTAGACCACTGCAGGCACATCTGAACCTGTCAGTGGGTCCTGGAGGATGAAGGATACTTGCCAAGCCTGACCACAGAGGTAGAAATCTGGGCCAGGCTGCCCACCTCCTCAAGCTTACAGCTCCCTCTTGACCAGCAGCTTCGCACAGTCTCCCAGCCTTGTTGTCACAGGCAGTGGGTTCCAGACAGGACCCTCGTCTGCACACACCACATCCTGCCATGCCCCCCAGACAGCCAGTCCAACAGTCAGTCAGTCAGCTCACAAGCTCACATTGCTTCCCTGGGGCAAGAACAGTGTGCCCGAGCTTCCAAGGGCAGCAGAGAGGAATGAGGGCCAAGCACCATGCAGTCGGCATTTCTGCAGACTTGGGGGAGTGAGGCTTGCATGTGAGCTGGAATGAAGGCCTCAAAGTCTGGGAAGAAAATAGGGTGTGCAGGAGTGATGGGGAGGAATGGTTTCAATGGGAGCAGCAGATGAGTGCCCTAAAGTGACTTATTAAGGGAACAAGAGCTGATGTAGAGTGAAGTTGAGACAGCTCTCTACAGCAGGGGAGTGAACATGGGGGGGCGGCTGTGTGCCAAGCAAGACCTCCAGGGAAAACTGGCAGAGCTGCAGGGCTGGGCTATGCCGCCAGCTTTTACTGTGCAGATCTCATGAGCCAGGCAATTCCCAGGGGCCCACTTTCTAGGCTGACCCAGGGTCTCCTTGTGGTCTAGGAGACTGGGCCACTAAGCAAGGTCCTGAAGATCCCACCTCAAAGGTGCCGGCAGAGGGTGTTCCCTGACTGGGCCTGTGGCTGTCCAGACAATAACTTCCCGTTTTCAGACTGCTGGAATGTTCTTTTGAGATGGTTTGGGCATCATAATGATGATGCCCTGGTGAGGAGGAGGTTTCCAGGGTCTCTGTTATCCTGGAGGTCTGGGATTGGTGTACTTGGGCTGCAAGCACATGCGTGCATATGTGTGCATACCTGTGTGTGTGCATGTGTCTGTGTATATCTCCATGTATGCACACATGTGTGTTTGTATATGCAGCTGTCTGGGTGTGCACGTGACAGTGTGTGCACATGCTGGTGTATGCATGTGTCTGTGTCCTTCTCTGTCCATGTATGCACACGTGTGCTTGTATATGCAGTTGTCTGTGTGTGCATGTGTCTGTGTCTGTCTCTGTGTATGCACGTGTGAGCTTGTACAGACACCTGTCTGTGTCTGCATGTGTTGGTGTGCACATGTGTCAATGTATGTACATGTCTACTCCTATGTCTGTGTATATGGGAACCCACGGTGAGAACTTCAGTGACTCAGATAAGAAGCTCCAGGGGCAGAAGCATGGCTGTCTGACTCATTTATTTTTTCAAACCCAAATAAAGCAGAAAATCCTCACCTGGGGTTCTGGAGATCTGAGTTAAAGTCTCGGATTTATCTCTATTCTGTTACGGGATATGTACAAACCACTGTGCCTCTTTGTGCCTCCGTTTCCCCAGATGGAACATTGAGGGTGAGCATAGCTTAATATGCTTACAGAACTCTGAGAGCTAAAAACACTGTCACAGACCCCCTGCATAGCCTTGACCCTCCCAACAGGCTCGGAATAAGGAAGTCAATTATGCACTCACTCCCAGCTGGGATAAACTGGTGTCTAGGTGATGGAGTGATCTTAGATGAGTGGGCTAGTTAGGCTCAGAGCTGGGGCAGAGCTTGAACTTCCTTTTCTGTAGTCCACACAAGTTCCACCCTAGTGACATTCCAAGTTGCAAGGAGAACAGAGGGGCATGGTGTGGGGAGAAGCATCACAAAATGCAGGGTCCAGGGCCTGACCATTCCCTGCTGCATCCAGGCTCAGCTGTGACAACAGGGGCTAGAATCCAGGCCCCTCCACTCCACCTAGCTCAAAATAAGGCACTTTAAAACCCAACACCCTGTCCACCTATGTCTTGCCCCCAGAGTTCCATGGACCTTTGTACCTGGGATCCCTGCCCCTCAAACCTTTCTGGGTAGGCCCCAGAAAGAGCACACTCTGCTCAGGCCCAGCCCGAGCCTCTGCCTCCACCAAGAAGGCGCACACACCTGGCCCCAGCAAATACAGTACCTTGCATACCTGAGGGCCCAAAGTCCTGCCGGGTGAGAAAGATGACGTGGTCATGGTGCTCAGAGTGGCCTGGGTCCTGGCGCTGCTGGGAGTGTGCCCAGCGACAGACCTGCTCCAGGCTGCGCGAGGGGTTTCCACGCTCGATCAGGCTCAGGGACTGCAGGGGCCGGGAGGCGGTCAGCGCTGGGGAGGAGCAGTCAGGCCCCGAGTGACCGCAGAGGACACCCAGGCTACTGGCCACCCGCTCACAGATACAACCCTGGGGCCTATGATATGCATGGCCTGTCCCATGGTCACCTGGCTGTCCTGACCCTGGCTGCTCCTACACACTGTCTCTCCTACTTTAGAGAACAAGTACTGGCCACGCACCAAGCACGTGGGTCTGCAGAGGACTCACACACATCATTACTCATCCATTGGACTAGCCCGCAAGGCAAGTGTTACTAGAGACAAAACACTTTTGTGGATAACAAAAGAACAGTAATGGAGCATTTTATCTTCACTATCATAAGTGCCTTGGAGGAAAGTTCTACTGTAGCCTCATTTGGGGAGGAAATAAGTGACAGGTCTAAGCTTGCAGACCCCAGGGGCCCTGGGCTCACCCAGTGTAGGACTGGTCTTCTCGCTGCCCCTCTCTTAAGTTTCCCCATCCATCTAATAGGAGAGGAGACTTCCACTTATAGGGACACAGGATCATCACAGAGACTGCAGGGAACCCACAGACCCCACTGATCAACCCCCAGTTGTTTTCTCCACTAAAGCCTCAATTCTAATGGGCGTGGGGTTTTGATTCTTTGAAGCTTTTCCTGAATGTGGTCCTTTCCACCTCACATCATAGCTGGTGTACCCCTCTAACCCACTTTCCTTCTCCCTTCTGCTGCCGAGTGGTGTTACCTGGCGGTAGCCGACCATAATCAAGCGGACAAGGGCGATGTTGATGTGAACCCCTAGAGACTCATCATGGTAGATCTCATTGACCTGGAAGGAGGAACGAGAAGAAAAGGCAGTGTAAGGGGATCAACTGTTTACCAAGGACCTGCCACGATCCACTTACTGTGCCAACCACGCTCACGGCCATCAAGGTGATAACTCATTTTGTAGTCGGAAGGGAGTTTCTTGCTCTGCGAATGCAAAGATAGTGCTTCTCTACCAGTTTAAAGCCACCAGGTTGGGGAGAAAGATGGACAAATCTCTTCCTGTGTGATTCAGTTTCCAAAAATCCACCAGAGAGTCAGCTATGAGCCGATTCCAACCCCCCAGAAGCAAGACTGCTTTTGGTTTTTTGCTTGTCGATTTTATCAGGCTGGCATTCTTAACCCCACTTCACAGATGGAAAAGCTGAGGCTGAGAGACACACAGGTGACATGCCCAAATACATGCAACTTGCAAGATGTAGAACTTGTTTAGACTCGATGGCATATAACAAAACAAAGTTCAAATTCCGAGCCTTTCACAGGAGAAGCCACTGTGTGGTGGAGGCTGGTCGCAAATTCAGCTCTTCTGGATGTAACTCCTGTCCATTCGCTTTCATAAAAAGCTTCTTTCAGAAACATTATGCAGTGCCAGAGACCCCCAGTTCGAGTCACTCACCCCAACATCTGTCTGAGTCTGTCTTAGGAAGCCGGGGCACTGGGGCAGCAGTAGTGAGCACTCCTTCAGGGCAAATTTGGATGCAGGGAGATGCTCTTGAGCCTTGGTCAACAGCAGCAACCCTGGGGGCCATTAGAATGCAGGGTCTCAGGCCTCAGTGAAGATATGAGGTATCAGGACAAGAGTCTGTATCTGAACAAGACCTGCCGCTGATGGTCCAGTTTCAGGATCACTGTTCTAGAAAAGCCCAGGGACCTGTTCATTGAACAGCTCATCAAAGAGTTTAGTCCTTTCCATTCTCTTCAGGAAGTCCTTGGACAGTGTCTGTGACAGTGACATTTAGCCTGTCCCCAAGGACATTCTCACCTGAAGATGCTTATCCCATTACCTGGCAACTCCAATATTTTTGTAAAAAGTAAATATTTATTTTCCTGAATATAAAATATGTCACTGTAAAAATAAACAACAAAAAACAACCCAGCAACCTAAAAAGTTCCAAAAAAGTAAATCAAGAAATTGATGTCATGAACTCTTGTTTGCTATATATGTAATAAATGTAATAATATGCATCCAAGACCTAGACAGTGAATAAGGATGACAGAAAAAGAATTGACGCCTTTGAGCTCGGTGTTGGAGAGGATCCCATGGATGAACCATCCCATGAATGGCCAAGAGAACGAACAGAACATGTCTTGGAGCCAGAGTGAACTTTGGAGGCAACAATGATGAGGCTTCACCTCACACGCTTTGGACATATTGACATGATGCTGGGAAGCGGTCGACAAAGGAGAGAAAAACTCTTGACCAGGTGGACTGACACGGTGACTGCTGCAATGGGCTCTTGTGTGTCAGGAAGTATGAAGATGGCACATGAGAGGACTAGGTTTAGATCTTTTGTTCATAGGGTCGCTATAAGTCATACTCAACAGCACCTAACAACAACATGCTTCCTCCTATGTGTGTGTGTGTATGTATATGCTAGTTTACAAAATTGAGACCACACTGGAGATAGTGTTTGTATTTTGCTTGTTCCTACACTGAAAAAGCAACGAAAAAGAAATCTTATTTAAGAAAGGTTTTTGGGGTTTTTTTGTTTACTTAAGTGATAATAAGCCAGTTAAAATCTTTGTTGAAGCTGAATTTTAAGTGCTAGGTAATGACCTGTAAATTAAAACAAAATTGTTTCAAATTTTATTCCCTGAGCTACTTGATTTAATAAAAATATTAATGATAAATTTATTGATTTAGTTTATCAAATATTGGTTTCCTTAATAAAGTGAATAATAAAGTACTTAATAAATGAAAAGGAATTCTTATTAGATTAAGAATAAAACGACCCTTCGCTAGCCCTTGTTTGACAGTCGGAATTCATTCTATAGGACAAAGATGAAGCAGTCCTTGCTCTTTAAGATTTACAGCCTTAGAAACCAGATCTGGGTCGCCATGAGTTGAGATGGACTCAAGAGCAGTAAGTTTGAGTTTTTCCAGGGAAAGGCCCTCTGTGAGGTGGATTGATTCAGGGACTGGGGTAATCAGGATGGGAGTGTCAGAGACAGTGCAACTGGCACAGGACAGAGCAGAGTTTAGGGCTGTTGTACATAGGGTCGCTATGAGTTGCAAGCAACTCAACAGCACATAACAACAACAACAACTACAATCATCCTATAGGGAGCTCTGGTGGCCTAGAGGCAAGAAGTTGTGCTTCAATCCTGAATGCACCTGGTTTGAGGCCACCAGCTGCTCCTTGGGAGAAGGAGGGGCAATCTCCTCCTGAGTGATTAACTGCCTCTGAAAACCCGACCGAGGGTCAGCTATGGGTCGGTTCCGACTCAATGGTACACAACAACAACAACAACATTATTGTGTGCATTTACAAGCATAACCTTTAATAGCCACAGGGGATTGGACCCTCATCTACCTGATGAATCTCCTGTTTTATCTGTGAGCTTCAGAGAGAGGCAACTTGCCCAGGAAGCACACAGCAATGTTCAGCACTGCAGCTACAGAAGTCCTGGGTTCAAAGACTAGCACTGCTCCTATGAGCTAAGTGGCTTGGGGCCAGTCAGATAACCCCTTAGAGCCTCTGACTCTTTTTCTGTAGAACGGGGTCAGTAATGGTCTGGAATCAGGCTGACACACGTAAATGTCTGGGATCCATAAGCAAGCTTTGGAAAACAGGGAGCCCAACAGGGATGATCAGGGTTGAGAACAGCGCAGACTGTGGCCCCTGACTCCGGCCCACACTGAGGCCTAGGAGCTGGGGTGGGGTCTCATTCATCCTCTCATTTTCATCACTTCTATCTCTCCAGGCCCTTTAGCCAATTCTTTTATGTTTCTAAACAGAGTAACTAAACTACAGTCCCCAAAGGGGCCAGTTGTCAAGGGAATGCAGAGGAGCAACTCTTCAACCCACACATGGGTGAGCCCCTCAGGGCGGGGAGGGACTACGCTCCTGTTCCTGGGCCCTAAGTTCTCTTGGGCCAGCAGAGAGAGCCAGCCTTCCACTCAGAACAGTGGCAGCAAAGGACCAAAGGACGAGTCTGACCAGCACCCAAAGCGCCTCTCTGTTCCTCATGTCCAAGCTTGACAGCTGCTCTCTCATTCACAAGCATGTCAATTTCAGAACAGCCACCCCCAGGCCAGCTCTGGGCCTCTCTGCACCTGTCTGTACCACACTGATTGGTGAGTTCATAGACCAGAGTTGCTGTGAGAAGCCAGGTACCCCTAACACCTGAAAAAGGATGACTGAGAGTCTTAACAGGCAGAGGGACCTACTGCCAATAGGTGCCCGTCCTCCCGAGCAGGAGTAATGGCTCCATGAGAGGAAAGGAATCACATGCATCAAGGGGTCTGTCCTCCATAACTTGTTCTGGGAGACTTCGACAATGGGGTGGGGGAGGGCAAGGCGAACTCCCCACACATTTTCTCTCCACCAGGATTTAACCTCAAGGATTCTTTGCAATCAGCTGAGATGATAATCATCGTGTAAGATCATCCCAACTTCCTATCTCTGCCGACATACATGCATGGGCTTTGTCTGGGGGGGAGCGACGTGCCTCTAAGGGCTCCCTGCTGTACCATGTAGTCATGAAGATGCAGGATGGTTCCACAGGCAGTGTGCACACCTGTAGCCACATCACATCTGTGTCCTGCATACTGACAGGTAAACCCACTAGTCATCCAGGGTCAAGAGATGGGGGGACAATAAGTCCCCCTCAAATATCAAGTAGTCCTTGAGTGTACATAGAGTTAATGCACTCATAAATATATCTGAGGTGTAAGTCAGCCCAGAAGCACCTCAGAAGAGAGTCCTGGCAGTCTGCTTCTGAAGAGCCAGTTGCTGAAAACCATGTGGAGGACAGTCCTCTGTTGACACACATGGGGCTGGCAGGAGTCAGAGTCACCTCATGGCAACTAGCTTTATATAAGCTACAAACATGATCTTCTAGCCCACATCTCTCCAAGGACAGAACAGATGGGTTGGTGCCAAAATCCTGCCCCTGTCCCATACCCAGCAGGACAAATCCACCCTCCACAGCTTCCAGGAAGCCCTGCTCCGATGGTCACCACCTCCAGTCACAGGACACGTGTGTGTGTGTGTGTGTGTGTGTGTGTGTGTGTGTGTGTGTGTGTGTTCCTCTTACAGTGAGCGGTGGAGGAGGCTGCTGTGTCTCTGAGAATCAGAGCTCACCTGCCCAACATCAGCGGGACCCTGAGTAGGACCTCCAGGTGCTCCCTTCCACTCGCAGGAAATGAGCCTAAAGGCAGATATGGAGCAAATCAGAAAATGGCATTCTGTCGGGAATGAGCACTCAGCACTCTGTAAAAAGAGCTTTCGCCGTCTTCCTTAAAGAAATGGAAAAAACGGTCCTCAACTTTATATGGAATGGCAAGAGGTGTTGAGTAGTTTAAACAATTCTGAAAGAGTAGCTGGACTCATATTACCTGACTTTAACACATATTCTACAAGCACTGTGATCGACCTGGCACATTGACTCTTTATTCAATGACTAGATCACTTGTGGACATTCTACATTTATGACAATAGAGTGTGTGTGGGGAATCCACTTTCTAGTTGTTTTGCACATTAATGGCATCTGTCTGGCAGTAACAAATGCCAAGGTGCTAAGGAAGAGTAATGCTGGCTGTAACGGTTAAAGTTATGTGTCCATGTAGCTGTACCACGATTCTCAGCGGTTCAGCGGTTTTCTCCTCATGTAATTTGGTAGTTACATAGCGATGTAGGGGAGCTCTGGTGGCCTAGTGGCAGGAAGTTGTGCTGCAATCCCAAAGGCACACAGTTCAAGCCCACCAGCCTCACGGGAGAAAGATGCGCAATCTCCTCCATGTGATTAATTGCCTCGGAAAACCCACTGGAGGGTCAGCCA